CCGTGACCAGCGCAGCGGCGGCTTTTCCCTGCCAAAATGCCTCTGCTTGCTCCGGAGTTCGATGGCTCCGGTTTTACTGGAGGTTTATTGACCGCTCGGGCCAATTTTTGCCTCGTTTTTCTTTTTCGTAGCAAGACTCCAAGTTCGAACGAGGGAGAGATTCAACTGCCAGGCTACAGAGGGAAATACCTTAAAAACTACAAGGATTAAATTTTTTTTTCTTAATAAATAAGACAGAGTCGATCCCAGTTACGACTAGGCCTTCGCCAATGATGTGTGCACAAGGAAGTCAGTTTTTGCATACGTGGCTGCATTCCCAGTCAGCCCATGGAGAGCGACGCTAACGGAAACTTCGCCGGGAATATTTCAATTTTATTCTCTTTGTCTGGAAATCAAAACCAACTTCCGCAGTAGCTCTTTCTCGTACAAATATTAGCTTAGGAAGTGCTCCGCTCGGATGCGCGGTCTCCGCAGTGCAGCCCGTATTTGCACCGGCCGCAGCAGCGCGGCTTTCCCCGCGGCGGGGCCCACCGAGATCCCGCTATGCTCAGCCCTGGCCGCAAGCGCGGCAGAGGGAAGGGGCTTATTCCCTGCCCGGAGACCCAATGGCGGTGCCATTGACAGCCGGGATTATTTTGAAAAGTGAGGGTTTTTTACTCGTCAGGCTGCTGGGTTTCCTTAAACGCGCCGGTACCAGCCCCACATCCTTCCTGGACACTAGGGATACTGATGCATTTATGCAAATCCATGCAGCAAAATGTTTCCTTCACCGCTTTGCTGCAGTTTCCCCGCGTTTACAACCTTTAACCAATTAAGCGATTAAAATAAACCGAGAACAATAGCTCCACTCGCTTGTGCCTCCCTCTAGAGCTGGCGCTGTGCAGGAGTGGAAGCGTGCCTGGGTCGGTGTCGGGAAGGTGGGAAGAGGAAGGGAAACGAAATGAACCAACCAACCCCGCCGTACAAATCCTGAGCCCGGGAACGGCGGATTCCTCGTTTCTCGGGCAGATAATACGAATTGGTCGTGTTTGTGGCAGCGGCCAAGGCGTCCCTGCGGTTCTCTTCACGGAACCATCACTCATGGGGGAGTGAGGCGGTGGGGAAAAACTGACGCAGAAATCTTGGTAGGGATTTATGTCTCATACCTCAGCCCCCTGTCTGCCGTTCCTAAAAAGGACTGCTCCTTTCTGATACCGCGGTTTGCGAGACCCCGCCGCGGAGCGGTAGAGAGGGGAGGGAGAGAGGCAGATAAATTAAACCGTTTTATTGCTCAGAGCGGAGCTTTCTACCATGACTGTAAGTAACCATGCGGCAGGCTCTGCCCTCACCAGGCTGCGACCTCCGCTGGGAAACGCACCCAAACCGT